CATTGCTATAGATTTTTCTAGCCTATGGAGGGGAGATCTATATAATGAGGCTTCAAAAAGCTTGTGGGAAAATTCTCTTTTGATTCCATTTATCTATGAGCTTTTTGAAATTCTCTCTCCATTATACATATACATATATATCTCCCTGGTGATTCTGGGGTAAGGTATTGGGCTGCTGACAACAAGGTTACATGGTTCAAACCCAACAGCTGATCCAACAGGAGAAACAGGAGATTATATTTACAGTCTTAGAAGCTACAGGGTCACTACCAGTATGAATCAACTCAATGGCAGTGTGTGTGTGTGTGTGTGTGTGTGTGTGTTAGGTGCCATTGAGTCGATTCCAACTCATAGCAACCCTATGCACAAGTAGATTGAAACGCTGTCCGATTCAGCACCATCCTCACATAGATATCTACACTAAGGCAACCAGATGTCCCGCTTTGGAGGGAACAGTCCTGATTTTTAGCAATTTTTCCTGTGTCCCACGGCGTTTTTAAAAAGTCCTGATTTTTTGAAAGAATGCACGACAAGCTAGGGTATAGGGTTTTCGGCTGCCATGTGGCTATTTCGCCAGGATGTGAGTTTTATCAATGGTGTACCGCTTTTGTCCCGCTTTACCAATGTTAAAATCTGGTCACCTTAATCTACACACATCTATGGATAGCTTTTGAATGAAAAGGTGTATTGCTTTAAACTGGCAGAGTCAAAGTAGAAACAAGATGAAATGACTTCCAGGAATAGCCTCACATCACTACTGTCCTACTCTCCTCCCTGAAAAAAATGTTAATTCTCTGTTGCTTCGAAACTCAGCATTTAGAAATGCTTACCAAAACATATTAAAATATTGCAGAATTTGAATGGGACTAAAAAAGTTGACGTTTAGGAATTCTAAGAGGGATTTGGGGATCCATGGATACATATAAGCACTTCCCTCCTTTCCCTCTTTCCAGGACTCTCAGTAGATGGGCTAGAAGGTTTCTGGGCATTCAGAATCATGAATGACATTTTTCGGTTGCTACAAAAGCAAATTACAAAGACAGCCTTTGCCTTTAAAGATAAAATGCACACTTTCCATCAACTTATCCCATATGGGCACACAAATACATAAAAATGGTCAGCAGGGCTTTGTAGCCTTCGTGGTTTGATACTATTGGAGGATTAACTCCTGTGCTTTCTTAAAGGTCAAATGCCATTCGGGATTCCTGGCAGACAGATCTCAGATGCCCAAGTCACCTTTTATAAATAAGATAGCTGAAACTTCAAAACCCTAAGCAGGGTAAACACAAAAGGAGATTAATATGGCATTTAATTTGCATAAAAAGGAATGGGTGGGTGGTAGTGAGAAATGTGGCCCTTTTCATTTTCAAAGACCAATTTAATAATTGCATGGAAAAGTGTATCCTCAGGAAGCTCTTGTCAATCTGTTGTTTAAACACAGAGAAACAAGCAGAGAAAGAAAGATTATTCAGGAGGCTCAAACACAGTTTCATACATTTCCCGGAAGCAAGTGTTGATGATGATAGGAAATGACAATTCAATGGAATCAAACTTATTTAAAGTATTGATACTATATTGACAGAAAGAAAAAGAACAATTAATCCATGTGATAACCAATATGTGCTTAATGCTAGGCCGCATGTCAAATCTAAAGGAAACATGTTTTCCTAAATATAGAATTATTTGATGAAATCCTTTGAATCTCTGGTTTGTCACCTCCAAAGATGATTTGTTAACTCCAAAATGTTCTGCACTGAAGACAGTTTTATGCTTTCATTTTGCTTTCTAGTGCAGGGTAACTATTCTGGAAGTAGTTGCTGTCGGCCCTTTGTCATATCTTACCTTGGCAATGGCATAGATGCGGGTGCTGGATGCCTCAGCCAGCTCTTTTCTGAGCTCGAGATTGGATGGCCAGTCTTTGTTCATGGGTAGACGGGCAGTGAAGCCATCTACAGATGGGTGACACATTCGCAAAGCCTTCTGGAAACTCTCTTCAAAGGTCCGACCAATGGCCATGACCTGCAACACACATTTAAGACCTCATATTGAAGCAAAGCACTCCCATATATTCTTCATCTGTAACAGAACTAAAAGTGGGATTTTCCCCCCAGAAAAGACTTAAGAGCAAAAAACCCATTAGAAGAATTAGACCCAAATTTGAGACTCCACCCCCCTCCTTGCCTCTCCATGGTTTTGGCGTAATCAGAATCATTAGCATTAGATTCATTGTTACCACTTTTGAAATTCAACACTATTGACCTCAAATTAATAAATAAGTTACCTATTCCTACTACAGATTATGATATTGAAATATGGAGTTTGTAGAGGGAACTTAGACACACCCTTCCTTAGGAAGGTCTTGCTTTTATGCTTTTATGTTGGAATCCTTTAGGGGAAAAAAACAAATGAAGAAAAACAAAGCATGTATTCACCCAAAAACAAACTTACTTCTAAATGAATATCAGTCAGTATTCAAGTCAGGTCAGCTTTCTTTTGAGCTAAGTATTAATATTAATAGAACCTTGAAATCATAACAAGCGCTGACAGATTCAGATTTTGAAGGTAGGCGGAGATTAAATTCTCCATGACAAATTCACTGTGTCTTTCCATACTCTTTACAGCTGATTGTACACTAATCAATTAGAAAAACCATGTGGTGATTTAGTTCAGACAAGTCAATGTCAGAACTAGGATTGACCTTGCAGCCTACCCAGTTATTTTCATTGGATAAACATTGTCTTTGAATGTTTCCACAGGTAATAGGTGGGCATGCATTGAGGGTCTCCATTTTAAAATGATAACAGCCGTCAATAAACTTCCGTGGTTCCTCAGACTTGAATTTCCATTAATGTCAGTTTAAGAAATCTTCGTGTCAATTGTGTGACAAGATACATATTCAAAGATCACCAAACCCAAACAGATAACCTTTTCACACTGTTCTCAATTTAATGAGAAATAAGAAGATTCACAAAAGCAAGAATAAACAACATGTTAGTCCAATTTAGATATGTAATGTGTGAGTCATAGAGGCATCTTGAATGGTTAGACATTGCTATAGATTTTTCTAGCCTAGCCAGGAAGAGACTGCCAGAAATAATAAAGGTCGTGGTTGATATAATTAAGAACATGCAGGCCTACCTCAGAAACATCAGGTTTTAGTTCAAATCAATGCAATAAAGGGAATTTTACAATAAAATGACTCATGATTTTTTTGTTTTCCATTACACTTAAAAGTTATATTTACACTATACTGCAATCTACTAAAGACCTTTAATGGTTTGGTAGGTTATGCATTGGGCTGATAACCACTAGGTTGGCTGTTCAAACACACTGACCACTCCCTCAAGAAAAATCAGACTTTCTGCTCCCACAAAGATTTATGGTCTTGGAACCCCAAAGGAGCACATCTACTCTGCCCTCTCGGGTCACTATGAATCCGAGTCAACTTCATGGCAATGAGTATGGATTTCCAGTATTTCGACAGTCCATTAAGTGTACATGCAAAATACTGTGAGAATTCCCACCAGGTGGCATAGAGTCATGAAATGAGCTCAGGCTGCTGGGAAATGGTGCTAATAGACTTACTTGACACAGAGTGGTCACAAACTTTCACTTTTGAAATTTGTAAACATAAAATATTGATAAAGCAAGATAAATGTAAAAAACAAACAAAATTGAAGTATGCATGCATTTATTTGATGCATAATAAAATGAATATGTAGACTTTGTTCTATCTCCAAATTATCATTGAATTTTGGCCCCAAAGGACATAGTTGTACAACTAGCTCAGTGTACATATTTATTAATTTTCATCACACAGTCCATATTGGTCTAGTCAATAAAAAGGAAGTAAACTGACCTATCTGACAATAAAACATGCATAAAGTGTTCAAAATGTATGCTTTTCAGTACTTTTATAATATTTAAGTTCACATTCATTAAGGGGAAATGTCATCATTTTTTTAAGGGAATAACTACCATGCCCTTCCATGGATATAATCTATTACATTCTCAAAGCATCTATAAGTAAATATAATGTTTTCAATGTTGCCACAGTTTAATTGGTATTATATTTGGTCTGTTTGCATAACCTGAATTTACCAGTTGCAGATAATATGTTTCGATCATCTACAACTAATGCTTTGCCTTATCCCCCTGGTGTCTTGCACATGTAAGAATTCAGGAAATGTTTGCTCACTTGATTGGAACCACATGTAAAGTATGAAATATTCACTGAACACAGAAAGTCCTCAGATATTAAGCCCTGCATGAAAGCACTAAAAAATTCTCTCATGTCCTTTGGCTTATAAATTACCATGAACATTCTGAAAGAAGAATTTCCTATGAAATATAAATCGAATAACAGTGGTTTATCTGGTTGAAACGCTACTACTTTCCATGGCACGTGAGTTCCCACTCCACATGCCCTACAAGGAGTGAAGAAACAATTACATTTCAAAACAACCATGAATGAGAAAAAACCAAAAACAACACCGTTCTTGGTGTTTAACCATTAGTAAGATATTTTAATGTAGAAGGTCAAGAAGTCCTTATTGGTCATGACTTTGAAATATCCCATTAATATCTTGTAAATGAAAGGACCCAATGAGTCTACTTTTTATGCAGGGATATTGGTGCCCATTAAAAATGTCTTCTTTTTTCTCTTTTCTTATGTAGTCCCTGTGATTATTGAATAGATTTTTTTAATGGTTGATGTAAATTTAGTCTATGATCTGTGTCATAGAACAAATGAAGGCTAAAGTAAAAAGTGAGCCCATAAATTGTCTTTTGCTGTATATTATAACCAGTTCAGATACTGACACAAGCATGTATCAACCAGATAGAGATAATTCATGGATAAATGGACAGATAGATAGGGAAAAGATAGAGATGTATACATACTGGTACTCCAAAATGCTACACTTGAATCACATGTAGGTACATAAATACAAGGGTGCTTCAGAAAGTTTGTGGGAAAATCCCATTATAGTTTAATTCAATTTGTCCGCAAACTTTTTGCTGCCTCAATGTATATGAACACTAATGATGGTGAATTACATTTATTGGGAGTATCCTATAAATTTACCTAAGGATATGACTAAGTACTACCTGTAGTAGTACTCTTACACTTTATAAGAATCCCACTGGTTTACTATCATCATCTCTGTTTTCCTAGTGGAGAATCTGTGATTCGGTGTATTGCCTGGGAATTTCTAGGTACTAAGTGTCAAGGCCAAGACGAAAACCCAGGTTTATCTGGTTCCAAAGTTCCAATGCTCTCCATTGCACCAAACCTCCTTACTGAAAAGTGAGAGAAGCCCCAGGATGGGGAGAGGGAGGAGAGAGAATCTCAGAGGCAAAGGGCTGAATTTCCTTCCTTTTTCCTACAGAGAGAGAATGGCTGAATTCTCTCTGAAGATGGAACAATAAAAACCAAAGTTCATGAAGTAAGAAATAGAATACTAGAAAAATCATCTAAAAGAGCTAAATACTTAGGATTTTTCAGTATCATCAAAGGGGTCTAACTGTCTCACCGCGTTCTCTACTTAGAACTTTGGAGTTGGAGAGGCTGAGAGATCTTCTAATCCAGCCCCTTTCTTTAATGGATGCTTAAAGTGAGGTCTCAGGGGTGTGAGGCCAAACCATGCCTGAATGGAGAAAAATTTAATTCTTAACCTTCATTCAGTGGCGTTTCGGTATATTATGTGTTATTTTACATTATCTTACTTTGTATTTTGGTTATAAAATGTATTAAACTAATTTAGATTTCTGCAAATGTATGTTTTTCTAGTTGTGTATCTGTTACATACACAGATCATACAGGGTTCCTTTTTAATCAGAAGCTCTTTGAATCCAAGGAAATATTCTTGTAACAGTAATAAGCAAATAGCTAGATGTTGAAACACTAAGGGGAAATAAAATTACTATCTGTCCTCTGATCAAAAATGTCTCCTTAAGACATTCAGTAGTGTTTAGAATTTGACAAAGTAAACTAAGGAGAAGAACTAGATAAAAAATATATTAAAGACTCACCTCTCCTACACTTTTCATAGAGCTCCCAATACGGCTGGAGGTTCCATGGAAACGGTCAAGATCCCAGCGAGGAATCTTTGTAACCATGTAGTCCAGGCTAGGCTCGAAGCAGGCGGAGGTCTTTCCGGATACAACATTCTTGATTTCTGGAAGTGGGATGCCCAGGGCGATCTTTGCAGCAATGAATGCCAACGGGTAACTATAAAGAAGGACACATTTTGTCTTAACTCTTTGTTTAAACAATAGTGTTAAAAACAGGCCCAAACACCAATTGGTCTTAATTAGAAATTCTCCCATCATTTAACTTCAGGGTACAAGACCTGATTCTCAGTGTACCTGATTCTCAGCTCTGTGTGGGTATTTAATACCCACTTATTAAATAATGTGAGCCATGATTTAAAACATGTGTAAGTATAGGTCACAGAAGAATGCCATCTCTATTCCGAACATGAACGGCTATGACTCCTGACCTTTACCTCTTCAACCACAGATCAATAACTCCGATGGTCAAGTACTCACTTGTTTAACTTCTAGTAAGGCAAGAAACTGCAAACTAATTATATACATATATATATATAATTGAAAAGTATAGACATATGTGAACCAGAAAGACAGACGAAGAGCTCATTCTGGGGAGTGTGCAGTGGTGGGAGGCTTTGTGCTCAGATTCGAGTGCATCTCAGAGGTGTCGTGTCGATGGAGGGCACCCTCTTGAAGCTGTGCCATATGCTTTTCTGTTGTTCAGCCTAGGAAACCCAGGTTTGAAGAACCTATAGGGACAGCAAGTAGAATAGGAGGTTCTGGGAGAGAGGAGTACAGTGGTGAGTAGGGGGGATAAGTGGGAGACGATGTCAAGGATTTCATATAGAAAAAGAAGTTTGGAAATGTATTATGGTAGAAATCGTACAATTCTACTTGATGTGTTTCAAACATGGAATGACATATGTATAAAATCCCAACTAATCGTAAAAAAGAAAACATCCAAACCAAACCCAACAGCCACCAATTCAATTCGGACCCGCAGTGACTCCGTAGGACGTGGCTCCTTTGGGTTTCCAAGACTAAAGTTTTATGGATCGGGGTATCCCATCTTCCTCTCTTAGCGAGGGAGAATGATTTCCAACTACTGACCTCGTGGCAAATAACTCAATTTGTAGCACACTCCACCTTTAGATGGTACTATGGGGTCTGCAGTGATTAGAAAACATTGGCATTATAAATAAGGCTCTGGCTCTGTCTCTAAGATAGCTTGAGTTCGGGCTCCAGAATTTTTACTCTTCCTGCCACTGGAAAGTCAGTTTTAATACTGGCATTTGAGAAAATGATTCTTATGCCTAGAGAATTGCATATGAGTCCTTTTAATCAAACTGGTTCATCCTATGGATGAAGTAAGTGAGAGAGATGTTAAGTTATTTGACCAAAGTCGCGCAGTCAGTGGGAGAGTCCGAATGAAAACTCGGGTTGACTGACTCCTGCGAACTAAGGCAACATGTCTACCACCACTCCATGCAGCCCTTTGTAACTGCATAAAACATCTAAAGGTAAATATTTTGTTAATTTGCATGCCATGTAATTCAAATGCCAGATGCTAAATATAATAAAATGAAACACATTAATTAACTTGCTCTCCAATTATGCTTGCTAAGAGTTCTTTAAATGGATGGCGAATTAATTTACCTGCAAAAAAAATACTACATTGTTTAGTCTTGAAAATTATTACTAAAATAAAAACAATGTGTCATGAATGCTTGAGTTGACTGAACCATGATTTGTCCAGGACTTGAAATAAGGCTTCACACCTAAGGAAGCCAAAAGAGCACTAAAATTAAGGATTAATTTGCACTTTTTTGCAACATCTGCAGAATGCAATTAAGAAGCAGATTTTTCACAGCCTGGTTTGACCACCCAGATTTTGATTAGCTTATGATTAGCTTATGATTAGCCAGCAAACAAAGCCAGCTAGCAATACCATTTGCCTCAATCTGGCAGCAAGCTCATTAATAATCGTGTCCTTGGGGTCCCACAAATGAGTTGGAGCCAGCATACAGAAGTGGGGAATATGGATTATAAGTACAGCATCGTTTTCAGTATTTCTATTTCCATTTGCAAGGACTCTGGAGACCCACAATCAATCCTCTGGTCTTACCCGGTGGCCTTTGAAGCCAGGGCGGAGCTCCGGGACAGTCTGGCATTCACTTCAATGATGCAGTACTCCATTGAGGTAGGATGAAGGGCAAACTGAATGTTGCATTCGCCCACAATGCCCAAGTGACGGACAACATTAATTGAAGTCTGTCTCAACATCTGAAATTCGGCATTGGACAGTGTCTGGGCAGGGGCCACCACAACAGAATCACCTGTAACCCCAAGCAACACTGGTTATTTGATGGTATAGCTCAAAAAGGCACTTCAGAAACCTAATCTACTCATCTCATACAAAAAAGACAGACTCGTCCATGAGTTGATTGGGAAAGAAGTATCAATATTATTTATAAGGCATGCCAGATATTATTTCCCCTAGCTTTGTTTTGTCTTTATGAGCCCAGCATTACTTCCCGAAACCCCTCTCATCTTTATCCCATTCATCTAGCTACCGTGGCTGTAGTCATCTACTTACTTGGTTGGCATTCATTTCTCCACCTTCCCTCATTTTATCTCAAATTCTTTCTCAAGTTCCTCTCTCCACAGAATTGTCTTTCCCTTTGTCCCAGACAGGTTCACCTACTTGTCTCTGACTCACCCCCCTTCCCATTCCCCTCACTTGCCTTCCACAGCAATGCCAGAACAATCAGGCAAGTGGCTCTCAGGCTTTGTATTGTTAAAGAGCTCAACATTTTGCTGATCCTGCTCAAAACCCATTACCATATATTTTTTTCAAATTGATTCACGTGACCAATTTTCCACTGAACCTGACTCACAGAAAACTGCGTGGAAACACTGCCCAGCCCCAAACCAGCCGCACTGTTGCTCCTGTGTTTCAGGCCATTGTCAATCTCTCTCACTCAGGGTTTTCACCTTTTGTGCTGACCCTCTACTTTACAGGGGGATGTGCTTCTCTGGGGTCTGCTCCCTCGTGAAAACATGTCCAGATGACTCGAGGCTAAGTCTCACGAGTCGTGCTTCGGAAGAGTATTCAATCTCTTTCGGCACACACTTGTTTTCTCCTCTGGCAGCCCATGGTACATTCAGTATTCTTCACCAATACTGTAATTCAAAGACATCGACTCTTCCTAGCCCTTCCGTTTTCCTTGCCCCAGGTCTGCGTACATGTGAAGCCATTGAAAATACCATGGCTTGGGTCAGGCACATCTAGTCTTCAAAGGGGAAGCTTTGTTTGTGAACACTTTTACTACGTCTTTTGCAGAAGATTTCCCCTTGCCTCTAAGACATAAAAATTTTTAAAAATCCAACTTAAAGTCACATTTCTGACCTCTTACAGTACTTGATACACCCCAAAGCCAGGCTCCTTGAAAGAATTTACTTGCCTTGGCTCATCTGGCACTGAGCTACTCTGATTTCCTCCTGGATTCTGCATCCCTCCCTGCTCTGGGGTCAGCGTGACTATTGATTACTGCTGTTTCTTTCTCCCGCCTGTACACCTAACTGTCACTCCGGGCTCAGTCGGGATGGCGTTCTTTTCTTTTGTGTATGTTTGCCCTTGAATAGTTGATAGATGCTTCCAAATTCACTGATTTCTTTTGTGTCAATGATTGCCAAATCTTTATTTTTATCCTCTATTTCTTGAATTCCAGTTCCAACTTAGTATTGTTAATTATCTTTTGTGAGCGTTCCACCCACAGCTCGAATTTAGCATTTCTAAAACCTAAGTCGTCCTCTTTCCCTTCTCCTTCTAACTAAACTCCTATCCTAAAATTCTGACTTCCTCCTTCACTCAGTGACTAACACTTCGCTCTGGTGAGAGTGTCCCCCAGCCTCTATAGATTTTACTTGTGTTACATCATCCGGGATTTGATCCCCCTCTTAAAATAACATCAGGATAAAAATACCAGCCTTACCGCATAGAAATTTTATGAAGTTAAATATTTAGGAGAATACTTTCAATTCTGTAAAATATCATATTCATGTAAAATGCTGAAATGTTGCCACTGACTTGTCAGTTAAGAGTAATATCTTAAAGGGAAAAAACCTTTTAAAAGACTGCTAGGGGCCATCGAGGACACAAACTGAATGCATTATGTATGACTATCATTCTTGAAGAGCCCTACGTACCTGTATGAATGCCCATGGCATCCACATTCTCCATGTTACAGACTGTAACACAGTTGTCATCAGCATCTCGAACCACTTCATATTCTATTTCTTTCCAACCTGTCACCGACCTCTCCACCAGAATCTGGTTGGTCATCGCAAAGGCCTGGAAATGGGTAACAAAAGGCATCAGAGAGTAAGGAAAGGCAGTGGTTGGAACGCACATATTTGGCCCCAACCTTGGCCAGCACTAAGTCTCAAGTCCCTTCTCCACCCTCCCCTACACTTCAGAAGGCACAGAGTGTCAGAAAATCAGTGAGAGACTAGGAATAGCATCCTGCAGTGAATATGCTTGATTTACATTATTGAGGCTTGCCATTCAAAGTGCTGATATGACATTAAATCAAACTAATTTAGGAAAAAGAGAAAATAATTGAGCAATCAGGCAGAGGGAAATGAAATTATTTCAGCAGCTAGGCTTCTCTGGAACCAGAAAATGTGATAAGTGCAAATAAATGTGGAAAAAAGAAGTCTAAAGACTCTGGCTTTCTCTAAAATAAGCTGGGGGGTGCTCTGAGCAGTGCCACACACAATGAAAGTTAGCTGACGTTGATGAGGAGAAGAAAGGAGATGATCATGGTTGTAAACAGCAAGCCAAGATGGCATACTAAACCTTGGAATTCAAAGAATCATATGCAACTATTATTATGGTTAATCACTGCCTAAGTGCTTAAATACTCTGAGTCATATATCATGTATGCCTGATTAGACAGATATGAATTAGTATAATTATCATTTCATATTTACTGAACACCCACAGTGGGTAGCATACTAAATCCAAAATATGAAACAGGCCGTCTCTAACCTGAAGATACTTTGGGGGGGTGAGGGGGAAGTTGAAGGTGCTAAAAGTCTAAGACAGATCTGTCCGTTTGTGTCATAAAATGTTTGATTTGATTTGTCAGTGAAAGGAAGAAAATGTGATGAGGAAGAATCATTAAAATTTTTCTGTTATTAGCAAGCAGTATAATAAAATAAAAACTTTTAAAAATACATTAAGTATCAACACTTAAAAAAAATCTTCCATCATCATAGTAGATTGGGTAGCTCCAAAATATGAGGCTGAAAAAACAGCACCCTTGTTCTTCATCCAGGAGCTCTGAGGGCACAGTTCATTAAGCCTTGGGCTGCTAATTGCAAGATGAGCGGTTCAAAGCAATTGCTTCTCAGTCGGGGACACGTGAGACTACCTGCTCTTATGAAAGATGTGCAGGGGGGAAGCCGATGAAGCAGTCTCCTCTGGACCACAGTGTTCAGAAGTTGGAATCAGCAGAGTGGCAGTGAGGTTTGGATTATTCTCTAGCTGCCCAAGATGAGATTTTCAAAATGGCTAACAAAGTGTGTAGTTAATGGCAACCATTTGAGAATGAGTAATTTGCAATAGAACTCCTTGTTCGAAAACAAGAAATCTGGAAAGCACAGGTATGAATTATGGAAGTCTTGTTTGTATTCTAAAGATTAGAATGGATATTTGGGTAGGAGGAAAATCTTCTTGACGCATTTCCTCGGATTTTTTTTCAACTATCAGATTTTATTCAAAAAGTCAATTTAAGGATGTGAACAACTTAATGTAGCTCCCATTGGTATTCAAGGTTATCTCAAAAGAATAAAAAGGGTATTCAGGGGTATCAGAATTAATCAATCACCATAGTAAAGTTTGGTTACCAACTGTTACTGACAGTAGCCATCGCAACCAATTGACAACGATGGACCACATTCCAAAATTATATTCATTGTGCTCAAAAGGAATTTTTTTCAGATAAAAATTTCAGCATTCAAACTATATTTGTATATCGTAAAAAAGGAGAGAGAGGAAATGGAGGAGCCCTGGTGGCCCAGTGGATAAGAACTTGTCTGCCAGCCAAAGGACTGAGGACTTGAACTCACCAACTGCTGTACAGGAGCGAGATGGTGGCAGTCCATTTCCATACAGATTGCCGTGTTGGGAACTCTGTGGGGCAGCTCTGCTCTGTCTTGTTAGGGTCACCGTGAGTCAGGATTGACGCCATAGCAATTGGTTGGTTTGGATGTATTCAAAATATTTCTAGGTTCTTTAATATATTGTCCAGTGTATTAAATATAGTTTTATTTGGTAAATTACATCATTTTAAATAGGTTTTGACTATAGACTATAAATACATTATCCTGATAGGCAGTAAAATATTATTTCTAATATTAAAATTATTTAGAGCTTCTAATATGCCAGAGGGAATAAATTTCATACCTCAATGATATCAAATCAACTTGATGGCAATGAGTTTAAATGAGCATGGTGACAGGGAGTTACTCTGAGAGCTGCTCCGTGGAAGAAAGAGGAGGCTGTCTGTTCCCATAAAGGTTTACAGTCTCAGAAACTGAAAGGGGCAGTTTGCTTCTGTTCTACAGTCAGAATTGATTTGATAAAAGTGGGTAGAAGCCTATTTTTCCTTTCAACATGATTCAGAAATTCAGAAAAATTACCCCCCAAAATGTATAATAGATATGCTTTCCCCTTTTTGCCAACCTTACACAATCTTCAAGTTCATATGTAAATCTGTGATTCCAACTATTTAAATAGGCTTAACTGTATACATCTATTCTAAAAATGCCTCACAGGTTCATTTGTTTCACTCAAAAAGTTGGTAACGTAAGGCCATCAACTGTGCTTGGGCCATGTTTTACAGGAGCCCTGGTTGCAGCACAGTAAAAAAGGTTTCATTTAAAACCAAAAATTTGGCGCATTTTTTACAGGAGCCCTGGTTGCAGCACAGTTAAAAAAGGTTTCATTTAAAACCAAAAGTCTGGCGGTTCAAACCTATCAGCCACTCTGGAGAAAGATGTAGTAATCTTGGAAACACTACAGCACAGTTCTACTCTCTTCAGTAGCATCACTATGAGTTGGAATTAACTCAATGGCAGGGGGTTGAGTTGGGTTGGATTGGGTTGGGTTGGTTTGGTTTAGTTTGGTTTGGTTCAGTTCAGTTCAGTTCGGTTTGGTTTGGTTTGGGTGAGGCTACTTATTAGCACTCTCCCTTAATTGTCCTCACCATAATTTTGTCAGATTTATGTCCAAGGCTGTCATGTAGTATATGGATGCCTCTCTTGGTGCATTCTACAAGGAGTCATTGAACTCCCGAGCTAGCTAGATGGTGGGAACAGAAAGCAGGAAGACTCCGCTTTCCTTGAGCATGCCTTCCATGTCAAGTTTTAGCTGTTTGGAGGAGGCCTTAATCTTCTCAAGAGTTTACCTGAGAAGAAAATAACTATTTAGTAATATGGTAAAGTGATGTGGATGTACATAAACTATAAACATGTAAATCTGGTCTTATGTAGATGTGTGTAGGGCTAGGAGCCTTGGTGGTACAGTGGTTACATGTTGGGGTGCTAACCCCAAGGTCAGCAGTTCAAAACCAAATGCCTTGCTGCAGGAGAAAAATGGCACCTCCTACTTATGGCTCAGAAACCTAAGGGGTAATTCCACTCTGTCCTACAGGGTCACTATGTGTCAAAATTGACTTGATGGTAGTGAATTTGGTCTTTGGTGTTTGGACAGCAGTTGGCTAAGAGTTCATTCATTTATGCTGCTAAACAGTTTATATGGACATATATTAGACACCTGAGTTTGGGGTAAAACTAAAACAGTCTATGTATTTTCCTTCACTTTTTGGATATCATTTCTTTCGCATTATTTCAAAGAATATAGAAAACACAAACATTATATTGCATTTATTATTAGCCACTAAAATACATTTTAATGAGCATGTTGGAGCACAAAGCAAAGGAAGATGGAATGGGATTAAATTTATGTTATTACTAGCAAAATTTACATCATTGGAAGGATAAGAAAGGTGGGGGGATCGTTGGTCTCGCGATCATTGGTTTACACAGAGCAGCTCTGGTTAATGCCTGTGTCCTGGCAAAAATCTTTTCCTTCTTAAGAGGGTCATCTTTTGCATATCACTTGTAGAGAATATGGGAGTGATGAAACAGCTAGACAATAAGACCATTTCTTATCTATCTATATAACTTTTTCTAGTGAAGAGGATCTCTAGGGTTTTCCTGGTTGGTAAGAACCAGGTGTAGAATCCACATACCTTTGTGCTGAGGTCTATAAGGGTCTCCTTATTGGGGCAGATGCCTGAGCCGAGCCCTCCCAGGGCGTATGCCGAGCGGATCATTACTGGGTAGCCAATGGTGTCTGCTGCCTTCAGGGCATCTTCAAGCTGCCATCAAGAACAAGAATTCCCACTTTTTACAAGCTCACCACCCAGGCAGAAAAGACACACCAAGAGAGTCTGGCAATAGTCATAAATCAATTTAGTTGGAGAGAATAAATATGGAATTATTATTCCTTCATCTCTTTCTGGGGCAGGAGGGGTGGGGTGTTTACAAATTTTAATTAAAAATCCAGGATCATTGTTTTGTTTTTGTTTGTTTGTTTGTTTTCTAAATAGGCCACGGAGCCCTGCATCCCTCACTTCTCCAAGCCTTCTTAGTGATACTTTATTTTCATTTTTTAATTTAAATCATTTTACTGGGG